AAGTTTTTTTTTTTTTTCTTTCTTTCTTTTTTTACTATTAACCTTTAATATTGAACTAATTGGATAGTCAATTAGCCAAAAAAGTTATTTGAGTTAATTATATATGTCACTACAAACAACGACTTACCTTTCAATGGATCTAAGGTCCAAACTTCCATACTTTAGACATAAGTAGGTCAAGTTAAGTAACACAAAACACATAAGTATTTTATATTATAAATATTTGAATGTTATGGATTTTTAGTTTTTGTTGTTATTTTTTATGTCTTTTACTTTTATTAATTTCTAACTTATCAAAGAATTTGTAGCCATAGAGTATTATTGGTGTGGTATAGGGATGCATCCATGTTATAAAAGGAGACTGTCTACTTAATAGAAGAAATAGGTCTACCTACCAGTTCCATAAAGTTATTTGTGTCTTTCTTATATATCAACCAAGATAAAAAAAAATTAATTCTAAAGTACATTAATTTGGATAAGCTTTACTCATTTATATTTTAAAATATATTTTTAGATATTATCTTATTTTTAATTTTTAATATACATATATAAAATTTTATCTAATAAATTTATTTGAAATTACGTATTCTATAAATTGACATGATTTACAAAATAAAATTAATGCTAAATTATATTTATTAATTAAAATAAAATGAATAAAAATAATAATGATCAAAATTTAATGCTTTCAAATTGATATATGCTTTAAATTTTATTATATTTAATAATATTTTTATTATAAATATTTTTTATTAATTGAAGAGTATTTTTATAAATTCTAAAGATGCTTTATATAAACAAATATATATATATATATATATATATATATTATGTATTATTAAAATTTATTGATATAAAATAGATATAAAGATAAAAATAAAATGTTACGTCTATTAAATTCAAGTTTAGTTCTCAATAGATATCACTTTCAATACAAAAACTTAAAATGATTGTATTTAAATTTTATTTTTTATAGATAAAATAAATTATACTTTAAAATATTAGTTTATAATTTTAAAGTTTCATTAATTATTATTAAATTCTATCATAAATTTTCTTAAGGGTCATCTTAATTTATACAAATTATTTGTAAATTTTGATTTTAATCGAAATAAGTTTCAGAATTTAATTTTTAAAAACCATGTACGTAATATCTTCTATTATGTAGTATTTAAATATTTAATAGTCTTTTAATATAAAAATAGTCACATAAAATATTTTATTAGATGCATTATATATATATATATATATATATATATAAGATTTGATTAAATAAATCATACCAACAAAGTCTAATCATAATATTCGCAATAATAAACTAAAAAATAAAATTCTTTGATTACAAACTAATTTTAATAATATTATGTAAAGGGTATTTATAGTCTCATCATAGTTTACACTAATCACAAGAATGTTGAATGTTTTACCTCCATATATGTCTGAAATTATTGCTAACCTTGTTAGAACATGTTTTTTTAAGTTAAAATTAAGTTGAAATTTATCAATGCATACTTTTAAAATAAATAACTAGTTTTGTAATATTTTTTATTTTTTCACTTTATTTACTACAAGAAATTAATATAATCAATTATCAACATTATTATAAGAAAAAAGAAAAAAGAAAAAACTATTCATAACTTTAAATTGAATGGGTAGTAGTGCCGTTGTTTGTGATTCACCTCCATGTTTCGACTTCTGCGCAGCTAAAAAGGCCCAATTCTTTGAGTCTCCTCATGCTGTTACTAGCTCAACGCCGTCAGTCACCACCACGCAACATCCACCCCATCACCCGGCAGTCGAACCCCAGAACACCACTACATATGAGGCAGCAACACTTCGTGTGCTCAGTATCGTTCTCCATGCCCGGCATCCTGACTACGACGCAGCGATTGGAGCAATTTCAGTGGATCTTGAGCACAAACCCTCGCTACGATGGTAATATTCAGCTGCGATTTCTCTATCTAGATCCAGCCGTGATTGATGCCACCAACTTCGTGGGGCATTACAATCATCTTGTGGAGTGGACGCACTCACCGCATCAAGAGTTGCTAGAATGTCGCATCGCCTGGCGACGATGAACGAAGAGCTCGTTACCTTGTGAATGAGAATTGCATAACTTTGTGAATGAGAATTCCACAACCGTATGAAGATAACCAGACAACTGTAGGAATAAGAGCATTATCACTGTGAGCTGGAGATGAAGAAGAGGGGTTGTATTCGAGTTTTGACCATTTGAAGTGTTTACTTCTACAAGAAAATCCCTCCAACATTTTCAAGTGTATGTTACCAATATTTGGATTCTGAGAGAATTTTCACATTTATCATCTGTGGACATGATTTGATAATTTGTTAGACATATTGTTATTAAAGCTGTTATTATTAGCTGTTATTATTAAAGCTGTTATTAGCTGTTATTATTAAAGCTGTTATTAGCTGTTATTATTAAAGCTGTTATTATTATTAAGATATGTGTGTATATTTTCTGTCTTTTATTTATATATTTATTTTCCTAGTGCCTCTACCAAGCCAACTTTCGGCACTTGCATTTTCCAACCCATCTCAATACATTAACCATTACCTCAACAACCTTGGCTACATGATGGCCTCACATTACATCTTTTATAAATGAAATACAACTTTCTTGCTTCAAGTTTAGAGATATAATATAGTAACAATGGGTTTATGTATCTGGATAACCACTATTTAATTGGTCATTGTATGAGTTGTTACAAAAATATGCTATACATAAATACTACAATTATAATCCTGTAATTCATGTAGATCCCAATTGTAAAAATAATCATTATACACATTTAGCTATAGATCTATCTATCTTACTCATAGGAAGTGGAT